ATACTAATTTAATACTAAAAATCAAATCACATTAAACTCACACATCAAGATTCTAACCAAAGTCTGCCAAAGGCATGGTCTTGGAGCTGAACGAACTCAGGCAAAAATCTGGAGTGTGGTGGTGGTGATCTGGGTGCCTTCCATATAAAGTCTGTAGCAGAAAAGACCTCTCTGAATCCTTCTCCAATTCCTCTTCTGTGACTCAAAGCTCCCAGCTGGATTTGGTTGGGGGAGCTTGTTTCTTTCTTTGATTTTGGGGTTTCCTCCATTTTTAGGCCATGAGGGATGGGAAGGTGCATTTCCATCCTGAGATCATGGATTGAATGCATTGTCTGAGAGTAAATATTGCAATGTAAAATATTGCAACTGTCTGTTCAGAGCCAGATCCCAGTGATCAGAAATGCCTGTGTCAGACTTCATCCCAGTTTTGTGACTGGGCACAGTTGTTACACTCACTCCCAGCTCTGAACAGTGGTTTGTTTGATGTGCTGGGAAGAGGGAGACTGCCTGCAGCTTGCTTTGCAACCAGCTGGAGGCCAGCAAAAAGACAGATATGTGGCTGGGGAAGCAAATTCTGTACCTCATGCTTTGCCTTAGAGGTACAGCAAAGCAGGTCAGAGGCTTGGCCACGTCAACCCACACAGCATTCTTTCCATGGATGAAGGCAGGAATCCAGCAGAGCTGTGTACTGCTTCCATTCCAGCCTCCTCAGCAGCCTCCTGGCACAGCACAACAGCACTTCCATCAGAGGAACAGGGGTGGCTGCCACCAGCAGAGAGCCAACAGCTGGACTGCAGGTGTGTGTTCACCTGTACTGGGATGAAGGGCTGTTCTCTGGGGTGATACAGCAGCACCTCAGACCCACACAAACGCAGCGTGAGGGACAATTTCAGAAGGTTATAAGGCAGCACTTCAGGTCCTTGCAGGTACTGAGGGCCCAGGTGACACGGCAGCATCTCAAACCTGCACCAACATGGCACAGCACTCCTGAAGGGACAACTTCATGAGGCTGGGGATAAGGTGGTGGCTCAGGGCACAAACACGGTGTTAGAATTCTTGGAGGGACCATTTCTGTGGCCAGCTGATCCAGCAGCATCTCGGAGCTGTGTTCAGCAGCACAGCACTCTTGGTGAGCCAGTGTGGTGTAGGCCTCTGGAAAAGCCAGATTTGGGAGTTTGGGAATACATCATCACCTCAGGGATGGACACGCAGGGTGCAGTGCTGCAGGGGTCACCCATGTGGTGGGGACCAACACCCTCAGGGCACGGACCTGGCACCACCTGAGGGAAAAGACTCCATTGCCTCATGGCACAGACTAGGTGCAACCGCAGGGCACAAACCCTCCATCGCCGCGGGCGTGGTCCCGGTGCCGCCCTAGGGCACAGTCCCTCCGTCACCTCATGGAGAGGGAACTCTCCGTTATCCCAGGGCGGGGACTCTCCCTCACCCAGGCGCGGTCCCAGTGCTGCCCTAGGCACGGATGCAGTGCCGCCTCAAGGCTCGGTCCCGGTGCCGCCCCAGCTGTGCCCGAGGCGGGAAAACGCTCCCGGCGCGTGCTGGGGGCGGGCCGAGGCGGGCCGAAGGGGCGTGGCCTGCGCTCGCCTGCCCCTCGGCCGCCGTTCGGGCCGAAAGGGGCGGGGCTCCGTGCGGCGCGCGGGCGCGTGGCTCTACGGAAGCCGGGCAGGGACGCTCGT